GTAGAAGCGAAACACGTGTCGTATTATCATCGATGGTGTGCCTTTCCTGGAGTATTGGTGTTGGGAGTAGTGGTGCCGAGAGTAGTGGTGCTGGGATTAGTGGTGACGGAATTGATGCACGCAATTGAGGGAGGGCGGGAGGTGTTCTTCAATCCAGGTAAGACACATCATTGTATTTAGTTAGCGGAAGGTTGCAAATTAATTAACTTCTTTTTTATAATAGATATCCGCAAAGTAACGCCAGATTCTATCAATTATCTAGAGATCACCGAATCCAACTTGTGGCACTATAACTTTTTAATATGCATAATTGTCAACTTATGACGGTAGTTGGAAGGTGTGCGAATTTTAAGTTCGTTAATTCAGTCACCACAACCTATTAAAAGACACTGTTAAACATAGGCCTCCCCCATTGATTGCCTCATAGGGTATTTACTATAGTTGTCAAGCTGGGGAGGTAGTTTGAGTATTGTAGTTACTTATTCTTTGGAGATGTTATAAAATGCTGAGGGTTACCTCCTGGTTCTATTTCTCTTACCACCTTTTACGACACGCGATGATATGGAGTAGCGGATTCTCTTACACTGCCCATAAACCGCGAAATTTAAAGCTTAAATATGAAAAATAATTAGCTATCGTCACCGCCATTACTAAAACCAATACCATCACCCACAAAAACACTTTCACGCTAACTTTATATACTAAAAAATACACGCAACTGTGGATAATAGGACACGTGTTTCGCCTATGAACGAGGGATCATCAGAATATGCTCTGCAGTGTCTAACCGCTTCGTGAGCGGGTGAGCCAACTTTGTTGCTTCATCGAACGAAACACAGCAGGGTGATACCTCGAAAATTTGGTGGTTGTTCTATTTCACATATTTCTTTAAGTTTTATAGATTACAAACCAAAATTTTGGTGTATGATTTTTAACTATAGGACCTTGGATTGCATAAAAGGAAAACACGACAACATGAAAATTTCTCGATAGGAAAAATTGCAAAAATAGGCTCTAATTAGACATTTCTCCATGACACCACAATATTTTTACGAATAAGTTTATGGAATTATTTTTAAGGCATAGTAAATAATCATATCTAAATTCTCATACATTGCCGTGTAGCGGCGGTTGAGAATATCCACTACCCCATATCTTACCGTGGGTAGCGTAAGAGGCGACAGAGGGAGACAGGCAGGACATGAGCAGCAGCATCTTCCTAATAACAACAATAATATAATAAAAAACTGCGGTAGCCAACCGGCTCGCCAACCGTGGCAACTATGGCAAATACCCCACCATGAGTAACGACGCAAACAAACGGCCCCCAGTCCACGGCGGCCCCGCCATTCCTGGCTACGGTGGCAACCATGGTAACGGCGTGACAGGGGGTGCTAAGTATCTCCGGTGGAGGTTCGGTTGCCACCTACGACGACTCGACCTGGCAACATACAACGCACGCACCCTGAGGACTGACGAGAAGATACTGGAGTTGGAAGAAGAGGTAGACAAGTTGCGCTGGCATATTATTGGATTATCCGAGGTCCGAAGAGAGGTGGAGGACACGGTAATCCTCGAGTCTGGCAGTGTTCTAACCCAGGAGTTAATTTATCGTACACATCTCTCGTCAACAACGTTGTAAAAGATTGCGAGTGTGTACCTGATACTCAGAATCACTTAACGGTATTCGCCGAAGGTCATACAGGTTTACGCACCAACCTCGGCACATCTCGATGAGGAGGTGGAGGAAATGTATGAGGATATTTTTAGAGCCATGCATTCCTCCAAAACCTAGTACACGGTGTTGATGGGAGACTTTAACGCAAAACTAGGCACAGGAGAAAGCGGTGAGCTGAAGTTAGGGAAATCTGGAGTAGGGCAACGGAACCGTAGGGGCCAGCAGCTGGCCGACTTTATGGAGAAAGAGGGACTTTTTATGATGAACTCTTTCTTCCAGAAGCAGCCCCACAGGAAGTGGACCTGGTCGAGCCCCGACAGTTCGACAAAAAATGAGATTGACTTCATTATGACGACCAGACGCCAACTTTACAGTGATATCTCAGTGATCGCAAGGGTGAAAACTGGCAGCGATCACCGAATGGTTAGAGGCACACTGAACCTAAACGTTAAGTTGGAGAGGTCTCGTCTAATGAAGTCAACGCTCCGTCCCCCTCGTGTTCTGATCCAGAACCCCAAAATATTTCAGCTCGAGTTACGTAACTGCTTTCAGTGCCTAGAAGATTGCAATGCAGTGGACGATATGAATTACAAGCTCGTGGAAACTGTCCATGCGGTCGGAGCTAAGTTCTGCAAGACCCGCCGCAGAAGAACACAAAAACTCTCCGATCACACTCTTAATCTCATGGCTGTTAGACGGGAGATGAAGCTGCAATCGTCAACAAATTTGACGGCATACAGGCAACTGAACAGACAGATCTCCAAATGCATGCGGCGAGACTTACGCAAATTTAATACTGCTCGTATTGAAGAAGCGATCGAGCGGAACCAGGGCTCCAAAGTCTTTGCCAAAGATCTGTCTGCCAGTAAGAGCCAACTGTCAAAGCTGAAGACTGAGTGTGGCAGCATCGTTTCCGGGACACCTGAGATTCTGAGTGAGATTGAAAGGTTCCATGGGCAGCTGTACACATCATCGTTAGAGCCACTCGCAAGTGTGAGTAACGATTCAAGAGCAAGTCTTATCCGACACTATTCCGATGATATCCCGGACGTCAGTCTGAGTGAAATTAGAATGGCTCTCCAGCACCTTAAAAACGGCAAGTCCCCGGCCGAGGATGGAATTACAGCGGAGCTTCTGAAAACGGATGGAAAACCGGTACTTGAAGTCCTTCAGAGGCTCTTTAATTCCGTCTAAAAAAAGGAAAAAAATAAACTTTAAATCAAACCCATCAATTTTTTACATTTCACAATTTATATGATATAAAAGCTTGTTGCGAGATTTACCTATGTACATAAACAAAAATACAATACGTAACTTGATATTGACATACTAGTAAGTAGCTAATTCTACGAAAAATAGGTTTTTTATAAAATAGGCAAGTTTCGCGAAAAACAATTGTGTAATGTAGTATATAATTTTGTACGTGGTAGAGCCATGCTGCAGTTATATTAGTAGTATAGTGGCAGCACGAATGGGTCGGCTCAATTGGTAAAGGACCACGTCCTCACTGAATACCGTAAAATAACAGCTTAACGCTTCTGTGTTTCGTATGGTGAGTGTAGAGAAACGGAGATCCTTTTTACTGGAAAGGAGGCATTCCATCTTAGTCTTCACGGGCGACAACGCATTTGCATTTTGATCCGTAATCGAGGATAAAAAAAAGGCAAAAAAAAAATATATATATATATATATATATATAGATGTCTATGGGTCACAGCAATCAATTACCATCAGGTGGACTGTGCTCGTGTGTCACCATTTTCCTATAAAAAAATAAAGTTTATTTTCTTCTTTTTAGAGCATTTAAATAAAAGTTTTTTACTTTTATTTTAATTTTCATTGTTGTAAGTTCAATGCTAGACAAAGGGCTTTTCCAAGAATATGCACACGGCACATTACAAATCCACTGCTAATCATAGAGCTTCCACCAAGTAACGCCACAAAATATAATCCTGATGCCACGGCTGTCACGGTATTTCATCTTACCAATAAGATGGACTATGTTACTTACTTTTGTTCTATTGCGGAGACAGAAGACAAAAAAGGGTCTCCGATTCTCTACACTCATTGCCCTTATCCGCTCGAGCCGAACCATTCGTGCTACAACCACAATACGGCTGCTGCATGCTTATATGCTTTTTCATACATTTATAATGTTAGGTTTATGTGATACATTTCCTCCTCCCTATTAAATTAAATGGTACACTATTAACTAGAGCAAACTCTTTTAAATATTTGAGTCATATGATTACGTCCGACCTCAAGGATAGTACTGACATGGGAAGGAAACATAGGGCTTAGTCGGTTTGAGCAAATATGATTGCTCGCAAGTTGGAGCGATGTTGGAAGGAAGTTAAACTAAATCTACTTATATTTATAGCGTTTTACACATCTCTTTCCACGTGCAGCGTACGGAGGGCACTCAACGGGGCCTAGGAGCCTTCGTGTTAGTTCCGGGTGCTGATGACGCTGTCCTGAAGTTGCAACGAATCAGCCATGTTTGCTCAAGCCACAATCAGCGTCATTAAAATTAAAATTTAAATGATAGGTGACAGAGTGTACTGTCCCAACCTGAAACACTGTTGTAGAATGCATGTGTCCAGCAGCTAATTAACTGCTGAGCACATGCATTATATAGCATTAAGAAAAAATTAATAACTTTTATGCATGTATCCGTTTGTTTGCGTCGTTACTCATGTTTATTTGTCATAGTTGCCACGCTTGGCGAGCCGGTTGGCGACCGCAGTTTTTTATTATATTTTTATTAAGATTAGGATTAGTAAGCTGAAGTGGCAATGGGCCGGTCATGGTCAGCTCGAAGAACCGACAACCGTTGAGAAAAAAAGGTTCTCGAGTGGCAGCCTCGTACCGATAAGCGAAGTGTAGGGCGACCCCCCACTAGATGGAGTGACGACTTAGTAAGACATGCAGGAAGTCGATGGATACAGGTGGCTCAGGACCATGCTTTGTGGCATACCTTGGGGGAGGCCTATTTTCAGCAGTGGACTTGTGAAGGGCTGTAATGATAATGATGATGATGCATGTATCCAATGTTATGTTAATAATAGATAATAATATTTTTAAATATAATGTAATATTTAGTCCTAGATACTCGAAATTAAATAAATAAATAATGATAATATGCATTAGATTTTTATATTATACAATAACTTAACATAATTTTTTTTAATAGGTAAATTCTAAAATATTAATTCAGATAACTTTGTAATCTGATAATAATTTAAGGATTAACAAAAACTACATGTTTAAATAAATAGATTTTTAATATTATTGAATAAATTAATAAATTAAACCGAGATACTTAAGTATGTTTTAGTAGTGCTTCGTCTATGTCTTTATTTTCTGTTACGTCATTTGAGTCTTGCATTACGCACGTAGGATCGGCGGCTTGGTTTGAAAACTTGAACTGGGAATTCGCTTTCAGCTTCAGCACCTCACTCCGTACTAATATCAGAAGGTATGTGTGAACAACTGAAACAAATCAGCGTTGTTTTGTAAAACACTCACTCCGTACTAATATCAGAAGGTATGTGTGAACAACTGAAACAAATCAGCGTTGTTTTGTAAAACACTCACTCCGTACTAATATCAGAAGGTATGTGTGAACAACTGAAACAAATCAGCATTGTTTTGTAAAACACTCACTCCGTACTAATATCAGAAGGTATGTGTGAACAACTGAAACAAATCAGCATTGTTTTGTAAAACACTCACTCCGTAATAATATCAGAAGGTATGTGTGAACAACTGAAACAAATCAGATTTGTTTTGTAAAACACTCACTCCACACAGAAGGTATTTGAACAACTGAAAAAAATCAGCATTGTTTTGTAAAACACTCACTCCGTACTAATATCAGAAGGTATGTGTGAACAACTGAAACAAATCAGTATTGTTTTGTAAAACAGCAGTAACACATGAACTTACAACCAGATGATAAGTGGCTACTGTAGCCGATTGGCACCTCACATAGATGCGTTTTCACTTCTGAGAACAAAGCTTGAGTGCCTCACAAACTGTAAAACCAATGGAACTAAGGCTCACCAAGCTGTTCTTGAGGTCAATAACTTTCTACCCTTTCCGTGTCCGACCACTGATGTTTATGAAGTCGGCAACGTACAATACGACAGCTTTTTATTAAATTAATCATTTCTGCAACTTTCTTACAATTCTATTTTGAATAACATCAAGCATAGGATATAAAATATAAGTCCTCGAACCAAGATAAGAACTAATAGGTGGGTATTACCTCAACAATAAGATTAATCGACTTCGTAAGATACAAGTAGTAAAATAAAAATAAAAATTCTACAATCGACTTCTATATAAATAAAATTAAAAGTTCATCAATGTAGTCGAAGTCAATTAAATATGCATGCGACTCAAAAACTACTGGTTAGATCATGATCATGAAAAACATCAGCTTTCAAATAAAAAAGAATCATCATAATCGGTTCACCTAGAAAAAAGTTCTGAGGTAACACACAAAAATACAGTCGAATTGAGTACCTCCTTCTTTTTTGAAGTCGGTTAAATATTGGAGTGCAATAAGCATTTCTCCTATATTGTAAAGGCGTTTTATATTCATAAATTGTACATAAACAAGACCTGAAACAATTAATAGAAATCGAACTGTTTGGGCCCAGCGAGCAGTGTCCCAACTAGCCACTGCGCTACTGATTTATCTTCGTTATATCCTATAAAAAGTCCACCGTTGAATACAGTCCTCCAATAGACTGTCCCATACGAGGATGTTTGCCATAGTTACCACCCTTGACAGGCGGGCTTGCAACCACATTTTTTATTTTTTATTAGGAAGACGCTGCTGCCCTCCTAGTTTATTTCCCTCTGGCGCCTCCTACGACGCCAACGGGATACCAACAACATATGAGGTGATAGTTTACTGGTTGACAAACGAGCACACAGTCCACCTGATGGTAAGTGGATGCTGTGGTCCATATACATCTACATTTATTATCTATTAAGAATCGAAATGCAAATGCGTTTTCACCCCTGAGAACTAAGATGGAATGCCTCGTTTCCAGTAAAAAATGGGTCTCCGAATCTCTACACTCATCATGCACAGTAGTACTAAGCTGCTATTTTACCCCGGTAGACTGTGAGAGTGTGGTCCTGCCCCGGTCGAGCCGACCCATTCGTGCTACAACCATAATATAGCTGCAGCGTGGCTTTACCACGTTTAAAAGATACTTTATGAGTTTTAAAAACTTATACGGCCATTCTTTAAGTTATTTATTATTTCACAATCATGAGGGTGAATAAAAACATAGTCCGCCATCTTTAGGAGTCCACCACATTGAATTCAGAGTGACCTCATTGTATTTTTGTATTCTTTTTAGCAAATTCTTTCATTTGATACCCATAACATAGGAGTGCATAAAAAAATTACTAATCCGCCGTCTTGGTAGCGGACCGATATAGGATTTAGAATGACGTCACTTAGCTAGCCATACATTGTCATCCAAATTCAATATCCATGCAAAAATTCAGCTCAATTGGTTGAGTATAACTGCTTTAAAATAAAGTTGCAAGATGACCTAACAAACACAAATATTGCAAGTGAAATAAAAGCTTTTAAAATTAGTGTAAAAAGAACTTACGCATTGAGGCACAAATAGCCGATGCAAAAACTACAATCTTATGCCATAAATTTGGTTCATCAAAAGGCGCACTCGTTGAAGCAATCGCATAAACAATACATATGAGAGCAGTGGCTGTAATAACGAACGCATGTGCGACCCCATAGCGGTAGTAGAGTCGTAACAACGTAACGTGTTTCTGAAACAAACGAAATATTATCTTTGAAAAATTATACATAGTAGAGCCAAACTGCAGCCATATTATGTTTATAGCACGAACGGGTCAGCTTGACCATGGAAGGTCCACGCTTTCAAAGAATTCCGGTGTGAAAGGGCAGCTTAAGAGCCCAGTCTTTCAGAGCAAAACAGAAAAATTGCGTTCTGGTGACACATCTACACCCTCCCTGCCCCGCCACTTCATGTACCGCCACCGCAGTTATCTTTCTGGCCGTAGCGTGGAAAGTTGCTCTACTAAGATTTTCCAGTATCAATTTATCTAATATACAGGATTATTGATAATTAGCTAACAAATTTTCACATACAGATTTTCTACCTCGTATCTATTTTTGTTCCATGCTTTTATTACAAAATTCGTTACACAAAAAAAAAATATTTTAAGTTTGTATAATTTTTGTTGTTTTGTTGAAAAGGTTTCTAAAAGATAATCATCTAGAACCTGTATAACATGTACTCGTATTATTGATTATTCAAATGAATCTGGCAAGTGCTAGAATGAGTCGTGCACTGAGGGTTTCGTAATAAGTCGATGACACTATCGAAAATCCGTCAAGTACGTCAAGTAGTTCTAAATACTAAAATAGATTAAAAAAAAACTCAAAATAATTTCTATATAAGTACAAACAGTCCACTATCACACATATTTATAGTTTCTCATTAAAGTATAATGTAACTTTGTATAGCATTTACCTATATGCATTACAAATATGCAACTCATTTATAAACTATTCTTAAAAGTACCTACCTAATTATATACCTAATATTTAACCAAGTGCTCACACATATGCACGTTGTTAACTATTTTACTATGAAACACAAAAAAACTTACCTTTGAATTCTATTTCTGTTCATTGCTTCAACGTTTGATTTCAATTTTCGTTTTCTGGTACAAGCATATTTTTTACGTTTATGGTCCATATCGAAATTAAAAGTTATAAAACAAATACAAAATGATTTATAAACCCTTAAAGAATTATATGCAAAAAATAATAAAGTAGAGCAACTTTCAATTCGTAACAATGCGCAACCAAGATTAGGGAAAGAGAGAGAAAGAGGAATGTTAGAGCGAGAGGAAGTGCAAAAATTTGGCACAGACAAGACGTCTGAACGCTACAGCCGCCCAGCGGCTACTAAGGAATATTTAGGGTTGCCGTTCTACAAATTTTAAAGTCCCTAGACTAATAGAAAAAATCCGCCAGAAACAGGATTTTTCTTTATCTTAAAATCCGCTAGAAGTCCCTAGGTACATTTTCGTGGTACCGTTGGTCTAACTGAAAAATCTTGCCAAATGGTATACAAAGAATACCGAAAATCTAAATCTATAAATTCAGAAAACCTTAAAAAAGAGCGGACTCTATTTCATATAAATTAATTATATATAGTGTAGGTTAATGACATGACAACCAAAACAAAAATTATACATGTACAAAATAAAAAAATATTGTAAAAAAACAAATCTCTTTAAACCACGTTTAAACATTAGTCATCTTATTAAAAATAAAACAATTAGCTCAGTACGTTCTTGTACCTAAATTTCAAAATTAATAGCGAAGTATGGATCCAGATCTTCAAAAAGAACTTCAGAGGAAGTTGAAGCTTCGCCAATGTCTCCAGTTCCCATCTTTGGTTTACCTTTACCGACTTGGTTGACAAGATCTTCGGGAATATCATACGTTGCGCAATTCTTTTTTAATCCTTAACTGATTTCTAATTAGACGGATGGAATTTAAACGTTTTTCTGATTGCTTGTTTCACAGTTTGCTTTTAACTACATTCGTAGCACCAAATACGCGTCAAATTCTGCATTTGAGTGCGGTAGTGATAATATTACTATTGCAAAATTACATAAATCTTCGAATATGTTTACTCCTGCTGCATTTTTGTATGTCGAAACCTTAGAACATGGTCTCAGGTCGAAACAGAGAAAGTGAATTAACGACATTGCATTGTTTATGTTCGGGAATTCCCGTGAAATTATATTATATATAATTTCACGGGAATTGTGTGTGTGCTACCAACGGTAGATTACAAAATTGGACATATGATAAATTACTTATTTGAAATGATTACTTCATAAAAAAGTCGCCATCTCAAAAGTCCAAATGTCGCTAGAAGTCGCTAAATAATTATTTCTCGCTAAAACGATTTTTTTATCCGCTAAACATTATTAAAATCCGCTAGATCTAGCGAGAAAGTCGCTAAAACGGCAACACTGAATATTGCCCGCAATTATTGTTTATAAAGTCAATATTTTATAGGTCGATCGAAATAATTATTAATTTTGAAATAAAGTGGTTTAAATTATTATTTTTTAATATTTGTCTAATTAAACACCTGCTCTTGAGAAAAAAATAATTATAGCATAAATATTTTCAGCTATTGCTATGAAACAAATAGTTTTTTATGAGGCGAAAACAGCGAAATTTAACGAAATTGAGACCTCTTATTTAAGACAATGAAAGATATTTAGAAAAAAGAAACAGCGCATTTTGGAGATGAAGATGTTTACCTATTAACGCGCTGAATAGGTTTCGCCTTTTTTATTATCGATTGCCTTATAATGGTACACGAACAAAGCTCGAAATTGCGTTGGGTGCGAGAGAGCTCTATTTACCGTTTGATTTATCTAACATAGACCACATAGATGAACCAAAAAAAAAAATTTAGCCATTACTTATAATCTGGGTATTTATGTGTTATCAAAATATTTTACTCTGAAACAATAATTTGCTGTAAAAAAAGAAATCAAAGTGGCGCTAATGATTCGATGTGAGTCAACTTTAAAAGACTGTAGCCTTAATGTTCCGTATGGTGAGTACCGTAGTAGCAGAGTAGAAAACCGGATACTCCTTTACTGGAAATGAAACATTCCATCTTAGTCCTTAGGAGTGACAACGCATGTACCACAGTACATACATAAACATAAACACTCACGCCTGTTACCCAGAGGGGTAGGCAGAGACTACAGACTTAAATTTGGCACGATCCTGACACACCTCTCTCGCCTCCTTTACGTCCATATATCTACGCATACATGCTCGTCGGTTAAGGGTTCTAATTTGGCCCGTTTTCAATATATTGCCAATTTGGTCCATAAACTTTCGCCTAGGACGTCCCTTTTGCGACCCTGTCGTTCACTTCTGTAACATAAATTTTCTTTGTCACTCTTTCCTCATTCATTCTTTCCATATGACCGAACCAACGAAGCATTCCTTTCAACATCCAACATCATCTTGCAAACCACACTCTTCATGCACCATAGTATACTAATATTTCTTAACCAAGGATAGATCTAGGTGACACTTGATCACATTATCCACTTATAATCAGATGGAATGTGTGCTCGTTGGTCACCCTTAAAACAAAGACAATTAATTCATGGACATGAAGTATTTGAATTTAAAAACTTTTTGCAAATGGTAAAGTCATCAAAGCATAATTTTGTAAATTTAAAATTTCATTTAATTTGAACCAGTATTAATTATTGTATACGTAACGTTAAATAAAAATAATAATAAAAATTATAATATTTACAATTAGTACTAATTATACACAATATAAAAAAGAAACTATAATATAGAAACACTAACACTAAAAATTTAAAATGTCTAAAAGTCCTGCTCCCCGTGGCATAGTGCCAAGAACGCTGACTGCGTTTCCTTGCTGAATAGCTATACTAAGCCTTTGAGCGAGGAAAGAACCAGCCCTCTTATCACCAACAGCAACGAACAGCCGTGGATACAGTTCCTTTAGGATCTTCACTGCACGTGGACCCCACGGACCGATAGTCTCTACAGCAAATGGCACAAATATGTAGTCATTTCTCAAAGACTCATATTTGCGCCATTTACTAAATTCGGAGGCCTCTGATGAAGCCCCGGCTCTAAAAGAGGTACCCTTGAGATGAGAGGCCGCCAAAGTATCAACGCAAGTAGCATCCCACACTAGGGCTTTACCTCTCTCCCAAGGGACCAAAGTCATACCGTCGGGTCTACTGCCATCGTCTCTAGATATCCCGCAAGGCTCTAAAACCGAGGGGGTATTTATGGAGACAAGAGCTCTTCGGATGACTCCGTTTAAAGAATCGTGACGGGAAAACCTACCTGCACTTTTCTTGCATGAAAGTCCGTGGATTCCAAACTCATCGACGCTGCTACCACAGGGGCACTGGTGAGGCATCCAAGCCGGAGCAAGCTCTCCCCATCAAGCAATGTGCCGAGATTAAATCAATGTGTAAACTAAAAAGTTCTATGCCAAAAATATTGAAATAGTAGAATTATTCCGATACAGAATGATATTTTTGCAAAAAAGTTTAAGTAAATTAAACTTTCCATTAGAAGGTCAGTTTTCACTATCACTATAATTACAGCCCTTCAAAGTCCACTGCTGGACGTAAGCCTCATAAATACATAAATTACCACACAGTAAGGTACTAAGCCACCTGTATCCATAGATTGCCTGCATATTACATAAGGTTGAATGTTACTCCTTCTAGCGGGGGTCGCTGGACACTGCTCTTGTTAGTATGTGGCTTTCACTCAAAAACATTACTTCTCCATCGGTTTTCGGTTCCTCGAGCTATATGGCCAACCCCAATGGGTGGCAATCCACGTCAGTTTCTGATCCACTGTTTTATATTTTGCATGATATGCATTCATAGTTGAAAGGTGAACATGAGCGGTTTCATACCGTTTTTGTAATGTTTCAAACTTGCGATTTTCAGGGATGAAACGTTGCCAACGTTAAAAAAGAAATATTTCCTCTATTTTTCAAGCTCAGTAAATCACATCTATTGCAGTTTATGTTTCTTTTTATATTCAACACATATTTTGAGAATTTCAAGAGAGTATTGTTAACAACATGAATGTTGGAACTGGTTGTAATGGGTAGGTATATTTTGTATTCTAAAAAGGTTTATTAAACATATTTAAATCGATGTCTTAAAGCAAATGATTTGCAATTTTACGAAATGATTTTTCTCATCTTATTTGCCGGTCCCGACCGACTAGGTGTAGAAAGTTCTCTCCTAGTTCTGCCACTCGATACTAGATGGCACTAGTGGGAAAATTTTAGTATGGATATTTCTAGAAAGATTAGTTCTGTTACTCGATACCAGATGGCGATAGTGCCATGTACCAGATATTATGGCGCGCAACATTATTATTCACCCGAAAATTCACAAAACATGAACTTTAAAATGAATTTACGATTTTATTTACTTTAAACGTAGAATATTTCATGTATTAAACAAAATATTAATTCGTAAAATTGTTCGAATTGTTGTCAAAACGAAATAAAATTACGAAAAATAACCAAAGAATCACTGTTTGCGTAGCGCTAGTAAACACGTAAACGAACTACTGACTGAGATATATATATAATTCATTTACTGGTTATGAGAGGAAAAGAGAAAGAAAATGTGCCCGCGCACTGCTCTCTCTTGCTACTATACTGTGATACAGACAATAGGCCTGCACTGTGCTCAGATATACGGAACGTAACTGGCTATGAGAGAATGAGAGAAAGAAAATGTGCACCCGCACTGCTCTCTCTTGCTTATATCCCCATTCAACTCCCGTTCGACTCGCTCGATCACACTTTTCATAACGATTTCGTCACGCGTTCGCCAGATTACTCCCCAAGTCAAGCGTGCGTAAAGAACTTTTATTTCAAAAGACCTGACGGTAAGTGAATATTAAACGATATAAAAACGGTATAGGTAATATGTCCTTAGTTTGGATTACAAATTAAAATTGTGTTTTCTAATTAAACTCACCTTATGAATGCCGATTATGAGCACCAAGTTGAAGATAATATCAAATAAATGAATAGATATTGTCGCCACAAACAACGCTAAAAAATGTATGGCATCCGCAATTAAAACAACGGATTTAGTGAAGTTAAGAAGCCATATAAGAACCGATGCGAATATTATTATACTTGTGACCTAAAAATGTATAAAAATATTAATAAATATAGGCATTGTAATAGGAATCACCTCTTCATAGCTTTATACATTATTATAGCTCTTCACAAGTCCACTGCTGAACAAAGGCCTCCCGCAGAGGATATCACAAAGCACGATCCTGCACCATCTGCATCCATTGACTGCATATCTTATCAGCTCGTCACTCCGTCTAATAAATGGCTGCCCTACACCTCGTTTACAGTACGAGATTGCCACTCGAGAATATTTCATCTCAATTGGTTGTCGGTTCTTAGAGCTATACGGAATCATATTAATAAGCACATTGTTTATAAATCGATTTCTTAAATCTATCAAATTCTTTTTTCCTCAATAGTTTTACCTAATAATTTTTCCTGTATAACGTGGGCTAGGCTTTTCCTACTCGTACATAAGTTATGTTGAAATCGCAACTTATCAATGACGATGACACTGTAACATCTGCGTAACAAAATAGTTCACCTTATGGTACTAAGGTTACACAAAGTTATAAAATTGGTTACAGTTTCTTATTACGATATCCACCTTTTTTACTCATCTAAGTTTCTAGTGTTCAAGATACATAAAAATTAAAACTAGGTATGTACCATAGACATTGGATTGGCGATGGAGCTTAGAGCATTCACCCAATGGACAAGTAATGCGCCTAATGCTACGAACAAAAATTCACTTTTGGTGCGGGGGAGGAAACACTACATAGACAGTACTGCACACTATTTTGTTACGCAGATGATGGCTTCATCTGACTGATTTATGAAAATCATCTTTGTCGTAAGGCACAATATGTTTTAAAGTCCAGAAGCGTTTTAATACTGAATCGAAAAAAATACGAATTAAAATATGATCATTTGGCCATATACCCTGCACTGAATTATAAAGGAGTGCAATGTTAAATTTATCGCAAATATGCGACGCAAAGATGTTCTTAATAGAGTGAGCTCAGTATGAGAGTTGATAGTCCGGGACCGCGTTGTACAAAATACTGACTTTATTAATTGCTTCCTCAGCACTTATTGACCTTGAGCGTCTCGCACGTTTTTCATTGAGAGTTGAAATCTGGATCTTTCATTTAGATCATCAATAACGTAGAAAGTTTGTAAACATGTTTTAAATGTTAGTTATCCTATCACGCATTAATTACGATTTCTGGTAAAATTTGTGACACAGATTGACCAAGTCCTAAATATGATTATGGTGAAATTAAACATAAACATCCAAGCCCGGAACAATTATTTGTAGGCCATACAAATACCGTGCGAGATTCGAACCTGTGACCCTCAGCGCCGCAACTCATTGCTAAGCTACTGCGCCACGGAGCCCTCAAATAAAAGGAAACGAAAGATTAATAAATGAGATATATTTACGAAGGGGAACTTTTTCATGCAGGCGGAATCCTTTCTATCAATACGTTTGATTACACCAAGTGATATAATCAAACGTATTTATTTAAATTTACTCTTCTTTATAAATAAATTGTATTTATTTAATAAATTCGTGGTTGAGCCTCTTTTTAAAATATTACGTGGTTTCATAGATAGATTTATTTGCATTATTAAAATTCTAGTAAAGTTAAACTCACCAATTTAAAGTAAGCCCATACTAAAAGCCCGTATCTCAAGGGAGCACAGAAGCAACATTTTGTAAATGATGGAATATCTGTATACATTGTATTAAAATTTTACAACACACAAAATCTCCGAAATACGAGTATATCGGGCAAGAAACCTGCACACGATTGAGTGCAGAGAGCGAACTGTCGTATTAATATCATCGTGAAGGAAAACACTGCTATGATGACCACAGAGCAACATTACCAGGTCTAAATGACAATGCAATGTTTTTTATCTCTCGGTGTAAGAAACAATATACGTTATTACTTTTATTGCGGAAATTACAATAATTTTACTACTGTGACCTTTATACGTTGTAAAGCCAAGCTGCAGCTAATTTATCGTTGTAGCACGAATGCGTGGCCTCAAACGGGGATAGCACGGATAACCACGCTCTTAAAGAATACCAACGTAAAATAGCAGCTTAATGCTGCTGTGTTTCGTATCGTGAATGTAGACAAACGGAGACCGTTTTTACTGGAAACGAGGCATACCGTATTAGTCCTCAGGCGTGACAACGCATCTGCATTTTGATTCTTAATCGAGGATAAATGTAAATGTTTATGGGTCACAGCCTTCACTAACCAGGTGGACTATACGTTCGTTTGTCACTTTTAATCTCTTATCTATCTCTAATCTTTTAATTCGTCGTAATTTAATAAAAGACAGTTATTAAATTACGACGAAGTAAATAATGCTATAGCTAAGTTATTCAATTGGTTTAATGTTAATAATTTGCATTTGAATAGAACTAAAACTAAATGTATGAAATTCGTAACTCCTAATGTTAAACATGTCAATACTAATGTAATTTTAAATGGGGAGGAACTGAGTCTTGTTGATACCACCATTTTTCTTGGAATCACACTGGACGCAAAGCTTCGATGGCTCCCCCATATATCAAAACTAGCTAGCAGACTTAGTTCTGCAGCATATGCTGTAAAAAAGATTAGAACTCTTACCAGTGTTGAAACAGCTAGAATAGTTTACTTCAGTTATTTCCATAGCATTATGTCGTATGGTATTTTGCTATGGGGACACGCGACTGACACTGAAATTATATTTATTTTACAGAAGAGGGCCATTAGAGCAATATATAATTTAAAACCAAAAGAGTCACTGAGACAAAAATTTAAAGAAATTAATATATTAACTCTGGCCTCTCAATACATTTATGAAAATGTAATGTACGTACACAAAAATAAAAGTAGTTTTGCGAAAATAAGTGATATTCATTCTGTAAATACTAGGAACAGACACAAGCTGGTAGTACCAGTTACTCGACTCCACCGAGTCAGTAATTCATTCTTGGGGCGATGTATACGCTTTTACAACAAAATCCCAGAAAATATACAAAATTTGTCATACACAAAGTTCAAAAATGTTATTAAACTAAGTTTGTATAAAAAGGGTTATTATAATATTAAGGAATTTATAGATGATAATAACCCCTGGGAAGGGTGATCGCTACCAAGCTATTTCTAATTTGTCTTGTGTTGTTGATTGTAAACATGATTGTAAGCTATTATTGGAAAAAAATAGTCCCGCTGGGTTTCTTGCTGGTTCTTCCCAGGACAGAGGTTTTTTTTTTGCGAACCAGTGGTAAATTAAAAAAGTGACCTTCAATAAGTATTTTTATAATCTACATTGAATAAAAAAGTTTCTATTTCTATTTCTATTTCTATTTCATAAAAATATATCCGGCGTGTTTTCCGAGGTATTCATAAGAACGTAAATTTTTTTGGAATCAAATTTGTGTTATTTACATTTTCCTCTTTAGATTCAATCATTATTGAAGTTAATTTAGTTTAAAAAATAATGATGAATTTATGGTTTTTAACTAAGGGTATAAAGTTTATTTGAGATATTTGATGCATATCATTAGTCCCATTTAATATTGATTGGCACCATAAAATAGACGTTGTTTTTTTACGTCCGAGTAGACTTCAATATTTCATAACTTAAGTTCTATATTTACGCGAGCACTACATCACATGGAATAAAACTAATTCATTTATTAATCCTATATCTTTGTAAATGGTCTACCGGAAGAAATTTCCTTATGAGATAAGTAGAGCCCTTGTACAAAACTTTCATCATGATGTGTCCTCTCCCTTGCTTGTGTGTACATAAATTATTAAATAAATAATAATTATTATACTGCGGCGGCGCTGTCGTCGCGCCGCAAGCGAAACACACCGAAGTCTAAATCACGGTATCAAAATTTCGTACCATAAACAGTATATATAGAACATCTCCGAACTATCACATGGAGATGGAGTGTTGACCGCTCCCCGGGCAGAACACCTTGCCCGGCGGGAGATCTCCCCTTTTCCTTCGGCGGCCACAATACCGATTTTATCACATTTAATTTAAAAAAAATGTTTTTATGGATCTTTGGATGAAAGAACATATCGCTAATGTGAAGCACTGATGCTCCGGGAAACATGAAGTATGTCAACATATTCAGAATCGTACCAACCATTATATCAAATTTTGAGATTGAGAGATTCATAGACCACAAAAAGCTTCGCAAAGAAACATCGATTCTTACCACGGATTAGTGTTGCCCAAGTGCAAGAACAAAACAAGACTTAGCCGGTCTTGGTCATGGTATTACGCCAATACACCTGGTCTTAGTCTTGGTCTTGGTATTGCGCTCCCAGTCTTAGTAATAGTCTTAGTCTTGGTCTTGCAGCAAGAGTCTCGCAAGTCTCGCAATTACGTATTAGCATATTGCTATTTATTAAACGTTACTTTAGATCGAATAACAACTTAATAGAGTAGGTAGATTTTGAGCTTGAATTAACACAGCCATAGTAAAGACTAACCGAATTAATAAATGTCTAAACATTTAATGAAAAATTCGAAAAATCAACTGACACCGGGTGGGGTTTGAATCCACGACCTAAGCTATCCGTGTCGATGCCCTAAGCTTTAACCAAATGAGCTATATACCGTATCCCACGGCCACGGGAGTCAGTCTGTTTTTAATAAACGTTTACATATAATCAGTTTACATGTGCTAAAACATGGTTTATATTACATATTTAAATAAAAAATAAAATTACATAACAGTACACAATAGCTTTAACATTACTGTACTTTATATTAATTCTTTTGACCAAGAATTAATATAAAGTAACCATTTGGCTGACTCATCACTTAACCTCTTTCTATGTTTTCTAATTACTAATGATGCTTTAGAAAATAATCTCTCAGCAGGTATTGAAAGAAAATCACGAGCAATCTTCGATAAAGTCGGATATTCTGCCTTATGCGCCCTCCACCACTCTAAAAATGTCTTCCGAGCTGGCGGCTCTGGGTTTACTTAGGTACTCGTCTATGTCGTCAATAACTAAGCCTTGAAGACAAGATCCAGATCCAGATGACGTCGAAGGACATGCATACCGTTTCTCAAAGTCTATTATATCTTCATCTTCAGCATATTCACATACTTTCTTTTGATTTCTTGGTGATTCTAGAGATTTATTCACTAAGTGTAGACTTTTATATTCTTTATAAAGTTCATTAAATTTCCGCAGGCTTTTTGTTTTAATTTGCTTCCCCCATAATGTCATGTTAAAAGTCTGAGCCATATACCTTGGGTCTATAATTAAAGAGGAACAAAAAATCCAGTATTTCTTCATATAGGAAACCCAGAATGAGCCTTTCATTCACTTTGGGTCGATTAGATTTCTCATCTAATTGTTTTACCATGGTTTTAATTATATCGAGCAAGAGATTGAATGATACAATGACTCGCGGTAATTTATCATATTTTTCTTCACCAAGCTTCGTTGATAAAAGTTTAGTTTATTAGATACTTATGTATTATTTCGAGTATTAGCCATTCACTATTTGTGATTTGGAAATCATTAAATTCGGTGAAAGAAGTGCACAATTCGTTAATGCCAGTTCTCACTTTTAAACCAAATCCAATCATAACCAACCAAATCAAATTCCATCTCGTTGGACAGTCGAGTATGGGATTCATAGTTGATGGCAGGACAGCTGCTTCACAAGTAGACTGAAACTTCCTCTTTAATATTTCACTTCTTTATATTTTACAGGAAATGCTGCGTAATTTTGTTACATATTTATTTATTATGAATATGTTTATCTATTAGTGAATAATAATAATAAAAGTGAGTAATTATGATAATTACTTACTAGAATAAATTATTACGATATCTACCTATCCTTATCATTATCTAATTACAACATTCCTTGCGAAATCAGCATAATGTATTCGTGTCCATTCTGAGCACCCGGAAACTTATTTTATTCTTTGGAACATGTATTCGGTGGTGACAATAAAACAATGTCAAATGTTGTGCGTGCGGTGCGGCGGCGACAATTGAATGCGATATCAATAGAAGCCGCCGGGACGTACATCGCGCCTTGACCTTGTACTTCCGAATAGCTACAAAATTTCTTTGACAGGTCAGTATCCGACCTTTGATGATACCGACAACAAGACGTCACGCACTATATATATCATCATTACAGCCCTTCACAAGTCCACTGCTGAACATAGGCCTCCCCCAAGTAATGCCACAAGTACGGTCCTGAGCCACCTGCATCCATCGACTTCCTGCATGTCTTACCAGGTCGTCACTCCATCTAGTGGGGGGTCGCCCTACATACTGCGGATATCCTCATTTCTGAGTCTATCACGCAGAGAAACTCCGAGCATAGCCCTTTCCATAGCTCACTGAGCGACCCTGAGCGTCCTCATACGGCCAGCAGTGAAGGACCACGTCTCAGATCCGTACGTCATCACTGGCAACACGCACTAGTTGTACACTTTAGTTTTCAGAGAGTGAGGTATACCTGATGAGAAGATGTGTCGTAATTTCCCGAACGCTGCCCAGCCGAGTTGAATCCGTCGATTGAGCTGTCGGTCGAAGTTGGACTTACCTAGTCGGACTATTTGTCCCAGGTAAACGTACTCGTCAACAACTTCGAGCATAGTGCTCCCAACAACTACCGGCATAGGTGTGACATGGACATTAAACATGATCTTTGTTTTGTCTATGTTCATCTTAAGATC